CATTATGAAGTCAGAGGAGTCTATATATCATGTAATATGACATATTATTAAAAATCCATTACAACAAAGTTAATGAAGGACAATAATACAGATGTACTAAAAGTGCTAAATTGAGGATGTACATGTAATATACATGTATTGATGACATAGTTGTGATAATTACATGCTACATATGATTTCAAGATTTCACATCGAGACTGAAATACAAGTACATGTCTTACAAGACATACAATAAGGTAACAACTAGATACTATCGCTGAAGTATAAGTAGTATTAATTAATCTGACATGTATTCTGTGGTACCTGAAGATAAGAATATGGGCTTTCTGTATGGAAGTAAGTACCTGGAACCAAGCCCCTGTAGTTGTTTGTGAGAGAGCACTTGTGCATGTAAAGTTAATCCGACGGAAAACTGCTCAATAGTGGTTGTGAAGAGCCGAAGAAGGCCCAGGCGCCAGCCAGCAGAGGGATAGCAGTGGAATGGGCTTCGCACTTAGCGGAGACTTTAGATGTTCTTGGGAGAAGGAACAGTTCAGACCCCAACCTGACAAAAAAAAAAGAAAAAAAAGTCTCCAATAAGTACATGTCTTTTAATGCTACAGTATTTTTCTATTTGCAAATGGTGTATGCATGATGCTATATACTTTTATGCTGTGGCTGTTTGAAAATATTTGAGTTCCTTTTTTTTTGTCAATATACCCTACAATATGTTTCAGCACAAGACTTTTTCAAATGAGAAAAAACGACAGTGTCATCCACTTAAAAAAGAATTACTACATTGCTATTTTACAGTGAATTACTTTCTATTTACTCTACAATCTATTTTCTAATGTTAGACACAATGTTGATGGCTAACTCAGTCAATATCTTCGAGTCAGTTGAGATAGCCTGACTATTGTTATGCTACATACTATACTATGGGATACATCGGTGTGTATATGGATTTTCTTTGTTATTTGTTATTATCCACTGACTGTGAAATTACCCAAGAAACGTTTTCCCACAGCCGGTATAGCGCTCGTTTTTGCAGTCAAATGTTACACAAGTGGGCATTTTTATGGCGCGTTTCCATAGGAGTTGGGAGTACCAATATTGCGACCAGTGGATTCACTTTTTTTGGGCTATCAGCAATCCAGTGAAAACATACAGTAGATATCAATGGTCTCAGTGGTTTATCGGTTGATGGGGCTTTGAAAATGCCTTCATTAAAAAGCCATATTCACAGAAGGAGAAGGGAAATTTTCTGATCCTGGAATTAATCTAGATTAATCTAAAGCAAAATTACTCATTTGTATTCTGTCAGAGGCATTCATATGTGTGCTACCTCCAGAAATTTAAATAACAGGTTTACTGTATTCTTTTGCAAAATCCCACGTGATTTCATCTTCTTAATTAAGATTTAGACAAAGTGATAAATACTTTTTTTGCTTATTTGTTACTGTGTTTTTGCTGCAACAAATAGAGTGTCCCTTTTTTTCAATTATAGATGTCTCACATTAACAATATAGTGTCTCCAAACATCCCACTTTGGGGCAACAGCGTTTAAAGATAATATAAAATCTGTGTTTAGAAAGTCTCTCAAGATGTGAAGATCCCAATGTTTTTAAAAATGTCTCATATGAAACTCTAGCTCTAGCAATTAAATAGGCTGATAAGCCTTGAAATACCTCCCCTCTTGTGCATTGATGAGAAAACAGATCGTAATGTGAACAAAAAGGGAACTTGTAAACATATTTTTAATGTTTTGTGAGAAATTATATAGAAAGGTGGTGATAGTGAGAGCAGGAAATGCTGTCCACTGAGCAGAGAATATATTCATCAGACACTGACTATAGCGCAATGACTAAATGATGTCTAAATAAAAGTAAAAATTGGATTCATTTGAATTTTTTTCCAGCTTTTTATTGTCATTACACTGTCACAAGTACAGAGCAAGGAAATGAACTATCTGCATTTAAGCCATCCCCATGGGGAGCAGTGCCATTGTGTGGCGCCCAGGAAGCAGTGTGGTGTTAAGGGTCTTGCTCAGGAACCTTGGGCCCTAACCACTTGGCCACCACCCCCCACCAAACTAGCAGGGAATCTGTCCACCTATCTGTATCTGTCAACCAAAACTCTCAATCTTAGGGCATCCATGCATCAGAAATATGAAAACATAAAGAATATTAACTGCTCAAATACACCACACTGGATTTAATATCCTGCTTTCGACACATTGCATCAAAAAGTAGCTTAAACTGTAATATGTTACACTGATAGCAATGTTGGATTGCTTCTAAATAAAATCAACATTGCCTCAAAAACCTAAACACAAAGGGATGAATTGGTTTCATACAACTGAAACTGAAAGTACAAAAAAAACCCAGACACATTTCAAGTAAAATAATGCAGAGTATTGAAGGAAATACATTTTAAGTAGACTTTTCGAACTGTATTATAACCATCTGTATGGTATGATAGGCTTTTTAGCATTGTGTAATGTCAGACTGACCAATATGTTTGTTTTTTTCTTAACTTTAAAAACAATAACAACATAGGAAAAAATAACTTCTAGATCTAATTAAGTTAGTTATCTTAAAGGATATGTGACACTTCAAATGATGAATCAGGTGATGTATTTGATATCTTATAATGTAGTTGGAATAATTAAAATATGATTGTGGATATATTTCTATTCCAGATATCAAGCAAATAGATTTATTGTTTAAATACCCTTTACTGGGTCAGCTCCACATGGAGAACATTTCACAAAAGCAACCATGTCACATAACAGTGACCAACATCATAATTTAATTTAATAAAAGCTGCAGTCGTTGGTGATGTTGTCATACACTTGTAGTTTCAGCATTAAAGCACTAGAGGGCGACAGAGAGCTAAAATCACAGTTTATGGCTATATTGTTTTCTCATTCCCTGTAAAATACATACATGTTCTTTATCTTTAGACTGTTTATCATAGTTTCATAATTTCTCATATTTTTTTATCCATTAAAAAACGAAATATTAAATGTCTTGTTGCCACTACTTCAAACCCTTAAGAGTAGCAGACATTAAAGGGAAACCGGGGAAAATATGTTTCTGTATGAAATTACAATAAAAAATATAGTTTTCTATTTGTTATTTCATCAGAATTATATCCCAAAGTCCAAAATAATAAAACATTTATTATTGTGTATCCTGAGATCAGATACAATTTTTCATCACCTCTTGATGGCTGGAGGAAAATCAAAATAAAGATTACAGACAAGTAGCCCAAAGCAACTTTAACAAGCAACCATCCTGACTGTTTACACAGCTCTGTGCATCACTAATGATTACAAAACTGTATCACAGACACACAAAAATTTTTTTGATTAGTGAATAAAAGTAGTACACTGTTTCATTGTTTAGTAAATATGAAGATCAGATCAAAAAAACAAACATTTAAACAGTAGTATGTGCTTCTCACAGACTGGGATAAAATGACCAAATATAAAATGTTACATAAGAAACCCTAATATGAGTTAAATATATTGGAAAACAAAATAATTGTGAATGCAAAACACACCCTTCTTTCTACTTACCTCTCACCATTTACTAATGTTAGCTTTCTTTATGTAGAAATCCAAAAATCGATGTATTCTTGCTGGCTGATTATGTTAAATTTCTCTTTTTTTGTATAATTTTCCAGCACAGACAAGAAGTTGATAAATGAAAGCAGCAAATTCTCCCCATATTTTCTTTCTGCTGAGTGATCTGTACTGTAGTGCAGTTTGATTTTGTCTCATTTTGAATTGAAAAAGCTTCCTGGATGGGAAGCAAAAGATCTTCAAACTTGGAAACAGATTCCAGTGGAATGTTTTTTAACTTTTATTGGAATAATTTTGTTAACCCCACTGGAGACAGTCTGAACCATGAAGGGAAATATTTCAACACAGAGGAGAAATCTGAAGTTAGTCTTTGAAACCTGTTAAAAATTGACATGAGGTAGTAAAAAAATAAATAGATTACAGGGTCAAAACTAAATAAAACTAGAACTTATTGAGAGGTTCTTGCTTGTTAGTTTTGAGGTTTTATGTTCAACCGTTAAAAACCTAAACAAACTTCAAATATTAAGTTGCTGATTGATCTATCTGTAAACTTTTTTTATTGTCCACAGGTCAGAAGGCACAAGCAGCTCAATCAATTTGTCCTTCTTTGATGTAGTTATGTACGCTTGTAACAAATTCATTTGTAATTAATAAATCCTAAATGTTTTATCATCTCACTGCAATAAAAATAGGATTTAAGTGAAAATGTTTTTATGCCATTGAGTTTATTTAAAGGAGACAAAATGCATTTAGTGCCTGATTTAGTGAGAAATAGAGACTAGAAGGATCAAAATAATGAATAAATCTCACGTCCTCTTCTATTCTTAACTAAACTATAACACCAGTATGTACTTTTTGTGTGTCTGTGTGTTAAATATGCTATTTGACAGAAAAGGTGTTAATTTCCAACCCTTTCATCCAAGCGAGAATCCTGCCCTACCGATTCATTTTCTGTGTGTTTACTGCTGGGAGAACCTTCCTCATTTCTAACTGAAATAATGACACTAGCGAAACCATTTCATTTGTTTTCTTTTCATTACTTTGTTTTTTAGCGAGGGTCTTGTCTTAATGTTGTGTGAAAAATTATTTTAGATGTTTTAAAGTACGAAATGTGGAGAAAATCCGCCTCTTAATGCTCAGAAGCAACGAGCTTCAGACACTTTTGAGCGTTCCTGGGTCAAAAAGAGAAAGTCCTGGAAACCAAATGCTACCTCATTGTGTAGAACGGGAAATAACCTTTCCATTAAAGTAAGTTATATGATAAAAAACTTTAATTTAGCGAAGATTTAAAGCCTTAAATGCCGCGAAGAAAACACAACTGTGGAGCGATTTGACGCGGGAGCAGAGCAGCAGGCTGGGTTGTTTCTTCACGGTTCTCATCCATAATATAAATCCCGCCTCCTGCTCTGAGCTGGAGACGTTCAGAGGAACATAAACAGAGAAACATGGCAGAAGAAGCTCCAGCAGCTGCACCGGCGAAAGCCCCGGCAAAAGCCCCGAGGAAGAAGTCCGCTCCTAAGGCCAAGAAGGATGGACCCAGCCTGTCCAAGCAGATCGTGGACGCCGTGGCCGAGTCCAAGGAGCGCAAAGGAGTGTCTCTGTCGGCGGTGAAGAAGGTCCTGGCTGCTAAAGGGGTGGATGTAGCTAAAGCCAACAAGCGGATCAACACGGCCGTCACTAAGTTGGTGACCAACGGCACCCTGGCTCACACCAAGGGGACCGGGGCCTCCGGTTCTTTCAAGCTCGCCAAGGAGTCCAAATCCGCTAAACCAGCCAAGAAGGTGGTGAAGAAGAAGGCTCCCGCAAAAGCCAAGAAGCCCGCCGCCAAGAAGGTCAGCACCCCGAAAAAAGCCACCGCTGCTAAGAAAGCGACAGCAGCCAAGAAGTCTCCGAAGAAGGCAGCAGCGGCCAAGAAAAGCGTGAAAAAGGTGGTGAAGAAGAGCCCCAAAAAGGCCGCCCCTGCTGCCAAGAAGCCAAAGGCTGCTAAGAAGCCTGCAGCTAAGAAACCTGCAGCCAAGAAACCTGCTGCAGCTAAAAAGGCCCCAGCTAAGAAGGCCAAGAAGTAGACTGCTGCTTCAACCAGCACTCAGTGCAACAAAGGCTCTTTTCAGAGCCACCACAGCTTCATCTCAAGAGCTCATTCTTTATAAGCAGAAAATTAATTACTGAATTATAAAGATCAAGCTTAAATTACAGTGGCTGATCTATGGAATTATTAAAATCAGTTAATTTCACTCATGACTGAAACCCATGGGACAGCCTCATCCAGATGATTCACCCTAAAATAATGGGATGATTTCCAGATGTGATCACATTATTAACACAAAGAAATAACTCCACCTCAACAAATGTTTCTGTGAATGAAAGCATGAAAATTTGCTTTTTAAATAGACATAATGTTTAATATATAAACTAAACTATTTCAGCATGGACACCATTTTACTCAAGGTAATACTTTTATTTTATCTAAGTAAAGTTTAATAGCTGTAAATATTTAATAAAGGACAAAAAGAAGGGTTTTCATAACAGGAATCGATGGCAGTAAAAAATATGTAAAAAAAAATTGAAAATGAAAGCACTAGATTTAATTAAAGGTTTCTATTATGAAGGCAGATATAAGTCTAAATAGTTACATGTGTAGTCTCCTTGGCGTTTGGCAACAATGTAAAAACTAAGTTTAATATTTAAAACAAGCACATTTATTTTACAAATATATTTCCTAAAATGATCATGAATAACACATTTTTATTATCTAATATTCTGCTAAAGCAAATATCAGACTTTTCAGAATGAAATTCCCTTATTTACCTTGGATTTTATTTTACTCCGGAATTTTCTTTCTTTGTTACACATCTCGCGCTTTATTTTGAAATTTCAAACTCAACCTATGAATGAGTTGGATGGGTTGTACCACGTGTTTAATTTGGTCCAATTAGAGGCTACTTCACGCCGCACGTCTCTTTATAAAGCCGCTGTTTCGCCTGTGAGATCATATTATCTTCGTTGAGTGAGAGATAAGCGCCTAGTCCGCCATGGCCAGAACCAAGCAGACCGCCCGTAAGTCCACCGGAGGAAAGGCTCCCAGGAAGCAGCTGGCTACCAAAGCTGCCCGTAAGAGCGCCCCGGCTACCGGTGGAGTGAAGAAGCCCCACCGTTACAGGCCCGGTACCGTGGCTCTCCGAGAGATCCGCCGTTACCAGAAGTCCACTGAGCTGCTCATCCGCAAGCTACCCTTCCAACGTCTGGTCAGAGAGATCGCTCAGGATTTCAAGACCGACCTGCGCTTCCAGAGCTCCGCCGTCATGGCTCTGCAGGAGGCCAGCGAGGCTTACCTGGTTGGTCTGNCCAGAGCTCCGCCGTCATGGCTCTGCAGGAGGCCAGCGAGGCTTACCTGGTTGGTCTGTTCGAGGACACCAACCTGTGCGCCATCCACGCCAAGAGGGTCACCATCATGCCCAAAGACATCCAGCTGGCCCGCCGCATCCGTGGAGAGAGAGCATAAGTCAAGCTCATACAACAAAACCCAACGGCTCTTTTAAGAGCCACTTACATCTTTTCAGAGCTCTGATCCTGTATTAAATGATGTACAGCATACATTTGAAATGGAATGAAAAGAAAACGCCCCTTCCAGATTAGGCTATAAGCCTCCTGTATAAATGTTCAATATTTATGTAGTAAGACTGACTAGGAAGTGTTTGATTACGCCAAAAGGCTCAAGATGAACTTCCATCTGCAGCAAACCTATTTAGAAACAACCAATTATTCTTAGTGTATAGTGAATCTAAAATGTACAGAATTTAATGTGTAGAACATCTATAGATGTTTTGGTCGTTTTAATAAATCCACTTCCTATAAATGTTGAATCGTCTACTAATGATTATTGCAGCAAAAATGCTACATAAATGTTGCTAAACTTAAGTAGATTATTTTCACATTTAGATATTTTACAAGCATCCATCGAAATGTTAAAAGTGGGTTTTCATTTTGTTTTGCAGTAATTTATAATTGTTTACTAAACTCTTTTACAGTGCTTACATTTGGGTACAGTTTTGAACAATTCTTGTGTGTAGTGTGTAGCTCTTGAGATACAGAATTTCTCTGGTACAACCATATGTTTTTTCTTTAAAGAGGTGTGTTATTGTGTCTGTGAATGGGTTGAATAATTTCCACCAGCTGGCAGCCTGAAACCACGGCCTCAACCTTTAGCCACGCCCCGATCTGTCAGCTGCATTTAGTGGTAATTGGCAGAAGCAGACTGCGGGAAAAAGCCGCCTGCTTTGATTGGACGATTGGATTTGTTGTTATATGTGACCAATCAGAGAGCATATGATCGACGACAGGCCTTATATATACTCCCAATGCGCGTCCTGACAGCCACTTGTTAAAGTAAACCATTACAGAAATCATGTCTGGACGTGGAAAGACCGGAGGCAAAGCCAGGGCTAAGGCCAAGACCCGCTCCTCTCGTGCTGGGCTGCAGTTCCCAGTCGGCCGTGTTCACAGGCTGTTGAGGAAGGGCAACTACGCTGAGCGCGTGGGCGCTGGAGCTCCCGNCTGCAGCTAAAAAGGCCCCAGCTAAGAAGGCCAAGAAGTAGACTGCTGCTTCAACCAGCACTCAGTGCAACAAAGGCTCTTTTCAGAGCCACCACAGCTTCATCTCAAGAGCTCATTCCTTATAAGCAGAAAATTAATTACTTAATTAGATAATATTCTCAAACTTAAAGGCAGTGATTAGGGTGGCTGATCAATGGAATTATTAAAATCAGTTAATTTCACTCATAACTGATCCCCATGGGATAGCCTCATCCATGATTCACAGATTCACCGTAAAATAACGAGATCATCTCTAAATATGAGCAAAAATGTGACCACATTATTAACACTAATACCTATTTGGAAATGAATGTTTCTAATAATGGAAGCATGGATATTTAATTAGATGTGTGTTTAGCACATCTAGTGATTTCATGAGATCAGAGTTCAGCTCTTTCATATTTTCTGTGTTGATTATTATGATTGATTATTACAGTACAGCTCATTAAATATGAGGTATTATTAAACGGATACTGGAAAGAGTGCAACTGATTTATATATTTGTGTAATTGCACTTGATATTTAATATTTAAATATACAATTTCAGCATGGACAATATTTAAGTTTTATGTAAGTAGTTTGTAATAACTTAAAATATTTATTATAGGACAAAAAGAAAAGAGCCCAAGGAAGGTTTCATTACCGGACTAATTAGCAGTAAAAGATATGTAAATAAAACGAGGAAGGTTTAGATTTAATTTTAATAAAACTTAAAAGAATCACATTTATATGAGAAATAAAACTGAAAAAATAAAATGAACTGAGAAGTAAATGAAACTGAGTAACATTTGAACTAGTTTTGGATAGTAATCAGGTTAAAGAATCTATAAAAATATTAATTATCAAAAACTTTGCTAAAGCAAATATCACACTTTATCAGACTAGTATACCCTCTTTAACCTTGGGCTTTATGTTACTTCGGAATTTTCTTTCTTTGTTACACATCTCGCGCTTTATTTTGAAATTTCAAACTCAACCAATGACTAAATTGAGTGGAGGGTTACCACGTGTTTAATTTGGTCCAATCAGAGGCCACCTCACGCCGCACGTCTCTTTATAAAGCCGCTGTTTCCACTGTGAGATCATATTATCCTCGTTTAGTGAGAGATAAGCGTCTAGTCCGCCATGGCCAGAACCAAGCAGACCGCCCGTAAATCCACCGGAGGAAAGGCTCCCAGGAAGCAGCTGGCTACTAAAGCTGCCCGTAAGAGCGCCCCGGCTACCGGTGGAGTGAAGAAGCCCCACCGTTACAGGCCCGGTACCGTGGCTCTCCGAGAGATCCGCCGTTACCAGAAGTCCACT